CATCATCTCAATATCCTCCACCGTTGCCTTCATCAAAGCTTCCTCCCTCTTATATTTCTCTTCCATCTCCGCACGTCTCCGAGCCTGTCGTTCCTCTACTAACTTCATACGTGCTTCCGCAGCCTTATTACTAACAAAAGATGCCATCACCAGGGATCGAACCCGGATTGACCCACTGAGATCGTCTAACATATTCTCTAAGTTCGTGTACAAGCCTCGCATCATGTGCATCTTGTCGGCACTTGAACTCTGTAGCAGCCTAGGAGCAGGAGTCGACTACCCCCCTCCCCCCTGACTGACCATCTTATCATCCTTAGCCTTCCTATAGAGTTCCATCTTATCATCCTGGACCCTCTCCAACTCCTTCCTAATCCTATACCGAGCCCTGCTTCGTTGTTCATATGCCTTCCTACGGATCACCTCAAGCCGTCTGCATTCTGAATCGTCTCTGAAGGGATGTTATCACTATGCATGGGAGGAATAGAGAGGCCGCCATCGCCGCCGCCTCGGTTCGAACCACCTTGTTACTTATTAGCTCGTTGCATTCTAGTGTGAGCATTCTTCCGTTTAGCCTTAACAAGTTCCCTAACCCTCCTCCTGGCATCATTTATCCTCTTATCAGTACGTGTCTAAAATGCATGAGCAGTATCACCAACATCAATACCCTGATGGTGTTGTTGACCCCCTCTGTTCGTAATAGGTTTAACCTATTTGATAATAACTCAGCATCTTGTTGAGACCTCTTACGAGCCTCTACCACCTCGGATAGTTGTCTATACTCTATAGCAACTAACGATGCAGCAGCCAGGATCAGTACATAAGTATTCATACAACAACAACCCACCAGTATTAGAGGAGGAGGAGGATGATGCCCCCCCGTGCAGTGTTGTCGTGTTACTACTGTTATTGAGGTCCATTGGTGAGTTTGATATAACTATTAGGATAACTGTTATTGAAGCTTTAGGAATTCCCCCAAATCGGTGACATCGGTGGACCCGTACCCGATACTTCTACTACCGACAGACTCCTCGAGCATCCAACGGGAGGACACAGCGTCACTAAGCCGGCTGGGAACATCTCCATATGTTGTTGTAAGATGGTGACCTCCTACTACTCTTAACGATACTCTTAACGCGAACCAATCCCAACCGATGCCCACTGTGGTGCTGCATGAGGTATTACCGAGCGTCACCACCGCCGACGAATAACAACACAATTTGTACGCGCATGTATTATCACCAATCACTAGCTAAAGAGGTATTATTATCGATTACATAGTCGATTAGGGGTAGTGTTGATAATACCAACTCCCCATTGGGTTTATCATTATCTAAATACCTCCTTAACGCAGCATCTCTACCGCCTTCAATACCACCAGCTACATGTCGGGCAACTGCTAATAGATGACTACCGTGCGCCACGATATTCCCACACACGTTACCAACTCTATACTGCCGATTCTTGGCACTGGCCTTGACTAGGACTTTAATTTGGTATATATCATCAGGAAGGCCCCATGGGGGGTAGAAGACCCATAGACCTTCTACTATCACTATCCTGACGGGTAGTAGTAAGATGATGAAGTGGACAAGTTATGGTATTATTATTATTACCTGTGATGTTCACGCACTTTAATTTTCCCCTCTTCGGGATCATGAACACTATGATCAAATTGTGGGCAATCGACATTCTGAAGAGGGGGGCTGAGGGGACGATGATAACATCCGTAGTACATCACAGTTCTTTAATCGATTCAAACATGTGATGAATCCCTCCTTATCAAAGGTCCAATGAGCTCCCCGATACCTAGAGGAGGTCCCTGGTTCGATCCCTACCTCCGGCTGTACTACTACCTCCGAGCCGCAACAGGATCAGCCATTTGAGTATCCAAATAGTGACGAGTGTAGTGGAAGCCATCCAAAGGGACGAGTATGGCTAAATATATATTAAAGCCGCCGCCGCACAGCGAAGATTAGTAAACCTACCTATGTTGTTGTTAGATATCCTATTGATCTCTGCCACTAGATGTCTACTTACTGCACTCTTACCAGCACCAGGAGCACCAACTACTCCTATTAATAGACGGGAATGGTCGGAGGGTAGAGATAGGAGGATATGTGATATGAGGTCGGAGGGGGATATCTCAACGGCGGCGGCGGCGGCGGCCATTGATGAGTAGTAAGGAAAGGAGGAGTGGTATAATTAAACCATTGAAGAAAGGCAAGTATCTACAAGATTGCAAGTGCGCTTCTCTCCACGTGCTGCTAATAAGAGGTAGGCGTGCTCACCCAAGCAGTTAGTATGAACTACTTGAATATCATCGTTACACTACTCTCAACAGTAGTGTGGGCTAGAAGGGTAATAATTATGTGCCGCAGTGAACCAATCAACATCATCCATTCTCAGATCATTCATGATGTTGCTGATGATGATTTCGTCATTGAAGACCCGTAAGTAGTAGTGGTATCCCATTAGATGTGTGCGTATCTTTGCGCACAGCGAAGATTTCGTGGTTTTAGGTACCAAGATATAGAGGCTAAAGAGATAGATGTAATGCGGTGGGTGAATCTTAGGTTGACGTTGATTAGATACAAAGTATGTCTATTATGAATCTTAGGTTGACGTTGATTAGATACAAAGTATGTCTATTATGAATCTTAGGTTGACGTTGATTAGATACAAAGTATGTCTATTATGAATCTTAGGTTGACGTTGATTAGATACAAAGTATGTCTATTATGAATCTTAGGTTGACGTTGATTAGATACAAAGTATGTCTATTATGAATCTTAGGTTGACGTTGATTAGATACAAAGTATGTCTATTATGAATCTTAGGTTTACGTTGATAAGATACAAAGTATGTCTATTATGAATCTTAGGTTGACGTTGATTAGATACAAAGTATGTCTATTATGAATCTTAGGTTGACGTTGATTAGATACAAAGTATGTCTATTATGAATCTTAGGTTGACGTTGATTAGATACAAAGTATGTCTATTATGAATCTTAGGTTGACGTTGATTAGATACAAAGTATGTCTATTATGAATCTTAGGTTTATGTTGATAAGATACAAAGTATGTCTATTATGAATCTTAGGTTTATGTTGATAAGATACAAAGTATGTCTATTATGAATCTTAGGTTTATGTTGATAAGATACAAAGTATGTCTATTATGAACCTTAGGTTTACGTTGATAAGATACAAAGTATGTCTATTATGAATCTTAGGTTTACGTTGATAAGATACAAAGTATGTCTATTATGAATCTTAGGTTTACGTTGATAAGATACAAAGTATGTCTATTATGAATCTTAGGTTTACGTTGATAAGATACAAAGTATGTCTATTATGAATCTTAGGTTTACGTTGATAAGATACAAAGTATGTCTATTATGAATCTTAGGTTTACGTTGATAAGATACAAAGTATGTCTATTATGAATCTTAGGTTGACATTGGTTGGATACAAAGTATGTCTATTATGAATCATCCATATTCTTAGGGCTCAGAAAGTGAAGACCATATTGCGGCCGGCTTCAAATCCTTTGATGCCAATAAGGACGGGGGTATCGATCCACAAGAGGTCAGGGCCATCTACAGAGGTCTTATGGACCAAGCTGATTTGTTCAAGTGAGTAGTAGGAGTGGTGAGTAATCGAAAGGTCCCTGGTTCTATCCCTCCATCGTTCATTAGATTCTATGCGGAAGCAGACAAGAACGAGGACGGGTTGATCGATATCGACGAGTATAGAGCATATATTAAATCCCTCTGAAGGGCATCCCTTTTTACCAACACATTTTCTAAACTCCAATCCAGTGTTATGTGGGTTAACCACCCAGAATAGTAGTCATCTCCGTTTACAATGGCTTACCACCAATCCCATCTTCGTAGTGCAATAGCAGGGAGGCGGCACTTGGGTGATGCATCGATCGGGGCTAAGATTGGCTTGTCGTCAAGGAGGAGTAGTCGAGTAGTGCTGGAAGGGAAGGAAGTAGTTATGGGTATCTTGAGGTTAGGTTGGATAGATACGGAATAGGTCTACTCTAGGGGATAGAAAATGCTCTATCTTGGAATCGAACTGGCGACCTATCCCTCTTCAGTTGTTCCCCTATAGCCCCTTCGATTACGCCATCCAGGAGGTCGATTCCCAAGGGTATGCTCGGGCCGTACCCTCGAGTGTGCGGAAGGTCATGGCGATGAGTCGGAGGAAGAAGGCGGCTTTGAAGGGAATTGACCATAAAAGTGAGGACTTGGGTAGGGATCGAACCGGGGACCTTTCGATTACTCCTAGGGGAGCCCTCCAGTGTTATTGATAATAAGAAAACGTCATTCGTGTCCTTCACCCTGTGCAAAGTCGACATGTCCACGCTCACAGCGATCGCGAACATCTCCAGCGCTACCGGAATACCTGTCCAAGAATTCGTAAGTGAGTAATCGGAACACCCGGGTTCAATTACTGGGTGGGACATTTTCAGATATTCACCGATAAAACGGATTCATACGCTCTCACAGGCCAACGTATTTGTGTGCGTTCGGAGTACCTCGCGAGTTTAAGGGAATTCGAAGCCCAACAAAAGTAAGATCCCTTTGAAATCTTGCACTCTTGCATTTCCTCAACTCCATAGTTTCCTCGACGGCTTCGGTATCACTGAGTGTTCCTATATGGAGGAAGACATCTCGCCTTATGCTCCTCATGTTGGTAATTTGTACCGTTTACGGTATCGTAACGTCGAACAGAGTGACAAGTCAATTGAAGAGGCTCTTCATGGGTTAACAAGCAGAGGGTTTATCAACTACTACCCACCGCAGAGGTCATCATCCCACCCTCCGAGTCCCCTCCTGGCTGAGTGTTGCATTGTTGTCAGATTCCCAATGAACTCTCATCTAGTAGGAGATGCGCTCCTCGTGAAGGACTTCCCTCGGGCGATGCGACTCTTAATAGAATACTTTAGGGAGACAACAACGTCGGAAGTGCTGAAGGAGGCCGCTGAGGAGTAAATGAGGGAGGAGGTCGCCGGTTCGAATCCCAGTGACGGTATTTTGTAGGTATTTATTCTCGGCAGATCCTGTGGCTGTGATAGACA